TAATATTTCATCTTGGGAGGCAATTTAACAGAATTGTGAGTACTTACTACCACCCATTTCGAGTTTGCTACATTCCTTGCTACATTTGTGGGATGCTGTTATTCTCAGTATTATTACCCTTGCTGTATGAGCTAAGGAATTTATTGCAGAAAGGAGCCATAGAGCCTGTAATCAATCACTGTTTTCTAATCTTAGTACAGATTAAAGAGAGTCATGTTTATAATATTTGTAGTGTGAAACTCAAATTGTTGTCCACTCCATAATCTTTTTTTTTCCCTACAGAACACTGATTTTTTAAAAGTTTCTGTAGATTCCAAGGACTCTTGTTTCATTTCTCCATTAGTCCCCCAGTATAGATAGTTCCTCTAAATTGTCCAGGGATAATGTCATTTTAGCTTGTTAGAAATTTCTGTCTAACTATATCTAGATAACTATTTTCTAGTGCCTTAGTTCTGATGAGAATTGCTCTGTAGCATATTTATTTATAAGAGCTGAACTACCCTTTTCTGAATGAATTATGACTTTGTTTTGGCTGTCTTAAGCATGCAAATTATAACTATATAACAGGAGTGAAATCAACTTACCTTCGTTACCGGTCCGCAAATGTGAGCACGTGAGAACTTAAAAAATGGGACGTCCGGGTGGGTGGGCGGAGCCTCATGCCACCGCCATTACCAGTTCACCCGAACTGGATAGAACCAGTCGAATTTCACCCCTACTATATAATTAATTTATAATTTGTGTAATCTGCTATGGTAGCTTGATGCTTCTCTACTAATAAAATATCACATTTCAGATAAAAAGTTAATGTTTGTAACATCGAGGCACTTTTTGTTTATGATTCAGGACACTCTAATGTTCTGTATATATTGGAAAGTACATGACAGTGATTCATACAGAAATTACGTATGTGATAATGAAACATATTTTGTATATTGCATGAAATCAGTGATGCTTTAAATGACAATTCTTGTTACATCTAGAAAAATATGCTATTGGGATGAAAAAAAATTTTTTTTACAGGAATGTGAGCCAGTCAATAGTCATATATTCACTAAGACAGTGATTCTCAACCTTTTCTTCACCACCCCCTTTAAATACCTTTTGTGGCCACCGATCCCCAAGACTTAATTCAAGATTTAAATCATATCATTTCTTCAAGCCTTTATGTAATGACATTGCAGCAGGGATCCTAAACCGTGAGTATCGGTTCGCTGAGCTCATGCTTTGCTGGCTGCATGTTGCTTGTATTTGACTAAAAATTGCTCTGCGCATGTGCAGAACCATGTCGGCAACAGCAGAAGACACTGGAGAACAGGTTCGGGGGTGGTGGTGTCAGGCCTGGGTCACTGCTAGTTGTGCGACCCAGGCCTGAATTCTACTACCGGTTCGGCTGAACCAGGCTGAACCAGCAGCAACCCACCTCTGCATTGCAGCCCCCTGGGTGTCCATAGTCCACAGGTTAAGAATCACTGCTCTATAATATTCTATTCCATTTCTCTCCAGTCCTATCACTGACAACATTCTGGGGCTATTATGCCTACTTAGTCTTAGATTGATTATTTCTGGGTCATAAGGGTGTTCTTACTCAAATCTTCCGGAGTTTATTATTACTTTTATTCCATAATCATAAAATTCCTTGAGTATCCTAGGAAATTCTTGTTTCCCATTCCCCTGTTTGGGTGCAATGAATCTGTCTATCTGTCTGATATAGACATCCATTTACCCAAAGAACTCTGAGCTAAAAACAGAAATAAATATAGACCAGCAAGACAGATCCATTAAAAAGAAACTTGGTCACGGCCCCTAAAATTGAAATTATCAGCTCATAAAACAGACTACATCAATATGGAGCTCTATTAAAATCCTGGTTCCAGTACCTAGGTAAAGAGCCAGGTTTTCAGAAGGGAGGCTTCCACAAGACAGGCACATGACCGAAAGTATATTCTTCCTGGGGCTAACCAGGTGACACTGCTTCACTGATGAAACTCTGCCACATCTAGTGGGATGGACCAAAACCATTGCAGGTAGGTGATCTTGCAAGTCTCTCATGTCATGTATGACTTTACAGATGACAACTAGCATCTTGAACTGCACTCAGAAACCCACTGGAAGCCAGTGCAGCTCATACAGTGGTATGATCAATACTGCATATGCTACTGAATTTTGCACCAGCTGAAGCTTATGAAAGTTCTTCAAATACAACCCCAGGTAGAGTGCATTGTAATAATGCAATCAGAAAGTGACTAGCCATTAGTGAGCAAGAGCACTGCCCTTCAATATAGGGATAGGCACAACTGATGCATAAGATGTAATTATGGAAAATTCCTTCTGGCCTTAGATGCCAACTGATCCTTGAGCAAGAGCCGTGAGTTCAGAAGAGTCACCAGATGCACACTTACCTCATCCAAAATTAATTATGGAAAATCACTAGATACCTTAAAATCCACAACCTCTTAGGTGAATCTTTTGTTTCCCATCCAGACCTGCACACATTTCAGGCACTGAAAAAAAGCACACAATGGCATTACTTGGCTGGTTTGAGGCAGAAATATATAACTGGATTTTATCAGCACACTAATGAAACTCATGTCCCAACAGATGATCTCACCCAGCAGTTCCATATAAATAGAAGCAGAGAGAGAGTTGAAGTCTAGGACTAGATGTTCTCTCCCCCTCCCCCCCCCATTCTTGCCCAGCACTCATTGAAACCAATATAAGAGAAAGGAAGAGAACCACTGGAGAACTGTGTGTCCCACTCNTTTTGGATCCATTCTGTAAATTAGTCCATTTGAGGTTACCCTGGTTTAAAAATTGTTGGCCTATGATGTTCTGCTTCACTCAGTTAAAGGTTATGGGAACAAGAGTTTTAGTAGTATATAGATATTCATTGCTACCTATTTGGCCTATGATGTTCTGCTTCACTCAGTTAAAGGTTATGGGAACAAGAGTTTTAGTAGTATATAGATATTCATTGCTACCTATGGAAAATCATGAAGACTCTCTAGGCATTTATATCAACAAAAGCAATTTTGAAATATTGATTAATTTGGTCAGATTTTGCAAGTAAGAAAAGTGGAGAGCTCTGATTTTGGAGCAAACTGACTTTCTCAAATTTCATATTATTTGCTGTGAGGGTAAAGAAAAGTATTATATACATGTAATACATATGTGATGAAACAGAGACAAAAGAGAAGAGATTATTTTTGTCAAATCTGTATCTTATTAAAAGCTCTTCTAGCAAAATGCTACAAGTACAAAACAAAAAAAGAAAACCCCCCACAAAATGTATTGAAATAGTAGATTGTGAAAAAATATATAGTTTACTAATTAATAGTATAATGCATTCAAATTAAGTTTCATTGGCATAAAGTTTGTATGTAGAGAAAAATAAAGTCTGATTTTATCTACTTTTGTTTAAACTAAAAATTGCTTTATTGAATGAAAAGGAAATAAAGTATGCTTTATAAATCAGAATCTATATTATTAGGCTGCACCATAATTTAGCACCGACAGCTATTGATACCAAGCATTTTATTTAAAAAATCGCCACAATTGGTAGTTTTAAAAATCCTTCCCCATCCTTTTAAAATCTTAGAGTTTAAGGCAGATATGTATGTATGCGGCTTATCTGCGTTTTTAGTCAGCAGGAAAAAGAAACAATAAATTTTCCTTCACAAAAGCCGCACGTCGACTTATTCGTGTTACTGTGTACATGAATAATGGTAGAAATAAACGCACCTGCCGCTGGAGGGCGCCGCGAGCAAGAACCGCTCAAGCCACATCAGGGTTGAATGTACTTGTACCGTAGTTAGCCGAGCTCTTGAACTATTTTGGAGCGCGAGGAAAAATCCGTCCTAAACGCGAAGGGGTTTTTTGGGGGGGTGGGGAGGGGGGAGTTTCTCTTCTTTCCGTTGCACAAGAAGTCAGGCAGATTATCTTCCCGCATCTTCTCTAGTACGGTGAATTTGTAGCTTGGGAGCTTCTCGAAAAGGATTAAAAGATACGTCGCCTCTTATTTCTGCCTCCCCCCGGTCTGATTTCAAACACCCCCCTCTCCGCGTGTCTCCCTTCAAATCACCGGAAAAGCCTCCAACCCTCACGCAGGAGATAATCATAGAATAGAACAGAATTCTTTATTGGCCAAGTATGATTGGACACACAAGTAATTTGTCTTTGGTGCATATGCTCTCAGTGTGCATAAGACAAATAAAATAGAATATATTCATCAAGAATCATGAGATACAACACTCAGTGATAGTCATAGGTTATTAATAAGCAATCAATTATTTCCTTCCAATGTTCTGCTCAATGTTTATATATTGAATTTAGCCCGCCCCATCGTTTGAGTCATGGAATCTCTACATTCTCTCCCCGTGTATACACATGCACGCTTCCAAGGCTCTTCTAGACCTCCGCCAGGCCGCAGAAGCGAAGCCAACCCTGCCTTTTCACGCGCACTCGTGTGCGACCGCGAACGTGTGCATGCGCCCCTTTCCGCGCGGGATGGGAGCTCCGCATCGTCGGCCTGCGGGGGCGTCTCTGCGAGGAAAGGCTCGGCGTCGTTGAAGCTGAGATTCCCCGGCTGGGGCGCGGGCGCGCGCGCCCGACGGCGGGGCGCTGACTCTTGGCGAGGTCCGCGCGCGGAACTGGCGAAGGGGGTCTATTTTTCTCCCACTCCCCCCCCCCGCCTCCTCCTGTTGCCCGAATGATGTCATGGAGAGGCAGCCGGCGGGGGGAGGCGCTGCAGGTTCATGTGTGCATAATGAAAAGGCGTTTGACAATCTGCCAAAAAGCACGGGAGGGAGAAACCGAGCCTCCTGGATTTCGTAAACCGAGTCGTCATCATCTGCAACTACGGGAGAAAAGAGGAGGGGGAGCGGCGGCGCCAGAAGCAGCGGCGGCGGCGACTCGCGACTCGGCTGCTGCCTCCATGTGAAACCCCAAGCCAAAAAAAGAAAAACCAAGGGGGGGGGGAAGGGGGTGGTGGTTTGGAGGGGGCAAGTCCGTGGGAGAAAGCGCTGGTTTGGAAAGCAACAGTTCCCAGCGCCGCGTAAAAGACGACCCTCGCCTCCCCGAGTGCTGCATTGCTTTCCCCGTCTCTGGCGCGCTGGCTCTTCGGTGGGATTAGAAGCTTCTTGGCAGCAGCCATGAATTCAGCCGAGCAAACCGTTACATGGCTGATCACCCTGGGGGTGCTGGAGTCGCCCAAAAAAAGCATCTCCGACCCGGAGGGATTTTTGCAGGCATCTCTGAAAGACGGGGTGGTTCTTTGCAGGCTGCTGGATCGCCTGCTACCGGGCACCATAGATAAAGTAAGTGTCTTTAATATTCCTATATTGCCCATTAAATCTCTCCCTCTCCCCTCGTCCTCCCCCACCCCGCTGCCGCCTACGCCGGCCCGGCCCCATAAGAGAATCGGGTTTTACTTGGGCTTCACCGCCAGGGCGTCGCATAACGCAAGGATCGCACCCAAACTGCCCTTCCAAGCATGTGCGGGTCTTTGCAACCATTGCAGCCTAAAACCCCGCGCGGTGGGCTGCATAAGGCGAGGCTACCAGCCCCCCCCCACCCCCCCCCCCCCCCCCCGGGATTATCTGGGCAGAGATACAGAGAGACTCGGGCAGATTTAAAAAAAAAAGCGCGCATGACACGCCTGGATTCAATCCGTCAGGCTCCTTCTGTTCTGGATATGTCGGAAAGTGAGCCGAGCCCAGGACTCGCCTAGATCCACGCACTTTCCTTTGTCCAGGGTCTCTTACACCCCCCCCCCCAACACAGCCTTTCCCCACCCTTGGAAAGGCAGGAAGCGTGTGGCCTTTTCCGTGGGAAGGCTCTTGCGCGGACACATCCTTCCTGTCTAGCTGCAGAGGCTCCATTGTCAAGCTTGAAGGAGGGGATGGAAACTGAGGAGTGGGTGGGGAGGTGGGCCGAATTGGGAGCAGAGTTTGAAATACAGTAAGGCAGCTACACTTTTAGCTCTTGGGGCCTTCACGAAGAAGTGCCCCAGGCTTCCTATCTTCAAATCGAACCAGAAAGGACAAAACGCATTAAGTCATCAATCATCCTCTAGAATTATCATCTATGTGTAATTATGTGTGTGTGTGTGTGTGTGAAAAAAAAGATGTATCTCTAGAAGAAAGATTTTTTTTCATAAAATATTTAGATTCGAAGACCTTTTTGTGTATGCATTATGTTTCTTCTTAACTATGAGGGAAATGTAAAAAACGTTTTGCTTTGATAGACACGAAGGCATATTTAATTTTACTTTGAGAATATTTTCCACAGATCAATACACACCATAATTTTGTACTGAGACTGTAAGTGTGACTGTGCAGGGTTTTTATATTAGAGTTATAATTTTATACAAACCCCTCTCTCTTCTCTCTCTCTCTCACACACACACTCTCTCTACACACACACACACAAACACACACACACGTTAAATGCACTTCATGCAATATAGGCTTCTATTTTTAGGGGGGAAATGAGGAAAATCACCTGATTTCAATTCTGCCTTGACACTCCCATTCCTAGTGCTTGATTATGTTCTTCCTAGTGAGAAATTTCTTAAGGTGCCATTGCACCTTGATGAACTAGTTAGCAAGGCAGCTCCTGTGATTTATTGTGTTATTTTAAAGTCTAAGTTTAGTATCTTGATATTCAGATGGGGCACTGTGTGATGGGAAAAAAACAAGGACATAGGTTTTTTTTTAAAAAAAAATTATTGGGCATGTGGAATGATTTTTAAAAATGCTTTCCTTCCTCAAATTCTTGTTTATTCAAGCATTTTCAAGATTAGTTTGAAATGTGAGGGTTCCATGTATTCTGCAAGAGGAGAAGGNAAGTAATGGGAGCTCACTCCGTTACGTGGCACTAGGGATTCGAACCGCCAAACTGTTGACCTTTCTGATTGACAAGCTCAGCGTCTTAGCCACCAAGCCACTTCGTTCCTATACATTTATAGTATTCCCATTTCTTTAGAGTAGATCTGATTCCATTGCTATTAGTATCTATAGATAAGTATAAAAATACAGAATAGTTTTATTATGGCAAGACAGTGTTGGAAAAACGCCCCAAAAACTGAGAATTCACTTATTTTCTTTCTAGCTTCTTCCATTATCTACACGTTAGATATTGATCAGTTTGCTTATTAATTTTTGCACTGCTCTTTACATTATTTATTCTTACTTATTTTTCAGTCTTTTTCTTTATTTTTCTTCAATGAATAGCAACAATTCAATTGTTTTACAAAAATAGATTGTACACTGAGGAGTGTTGATCAGCAGAGTAACAATTCATTACTTTTAAGAATGGGTACATTACACTGGTACAAAAGAGCAATACCCCCATCCTTCTTTTTTGCTCACAGAAACCATCAAGATGCACATTGGAAATCTCAACACACCACCTAGTGGTAATAGCAATCTCATTTGTTATAACTAAAAATACTGAAAGGGAAGTAGAAAGTATCGTATTCAGCACTGTCAGAACTTCTTGCTATCTGACCTACCAAAGCAAAACTGAGGCCAGAATGAATAGAATTGGGGATGTGTACCTTCATTGACATTATTGGAGTAGCTGCCAAATGCAGCCCATGTGATCTTTTGAAAATGCTGTGGTTACTTACAGCCTGAGACTGGTCATGAAATGATTGCATATTAACAATACCAGAACACAATTTGCAGGTAGAAAAATATTCTGATCTAGTCCTTTTCACCTTGCTGTATGTTGGATCCTTGATGGTCTCCTGTTTTAAGCTTGTGGACTAAATGAAGTGTCCTGTAACAGATTCAGTCTGAATCCAGAGAAGGCAGAGGGGTAGGAGTTGGGAAAATCTTTCTTGATTGAATGGGATCTTATCTGCAATATATAGGGTTATAGTCTCCATGAAGGCGCATGCATATTGCAGTAAGATGCTCCTTGAACGTATACCATCCCTGGGCATTCTGATCAGCACAGTGATAAGCACCTATATTTCTGGCAGCATAAGAGCTCTAACCTTGTAATCACTATCCATGCCAGCTACCTCTTAATGGAATTATTACAGTACATTCTATATGGGGATGCCCCTAAAGAAAAATAAATCCATAAGGACAGTGTTTATATGAGTAGGATTATTATATCCCTGCATGATTAAGGCCATGCCATTGCCATATTTTTAATTTTTATTTATCACATTTATAAACTGCCCATCTCCCTCAAATAAGACCTCTGTGCACTATACAAATAAAATGTTAAAAAATAAAAGCTGAATGTACAGGTTTTTTTTAAAAGAGGCAATTATAGTTAAAATTGAACATGAAAAGTTGGTTAAAGTTGGGGAGAATACCTTCAGGGTATAGTGAGATACAATGTTGCCCTTCAAACCTTCCAACATTTTGCTGGAATGGCTGGATTATGAAAGTACCAATATGAGTTTTTGATTTTATTTCAAGAATCAGAATTGTGTTACAGACTGGCCTAAGGATTTGCTGACACACAGCATGAAAGTAGCTTTGGACTTTGTTTTTCCCACCATAGTAGCAATAATATTATTGTGTTGGTACAATCTAATCAAAAGATATATGGTTGGCTTTATACTCAGATCACAATTAGAATAATCATTTTCTTTGCCACAAATATTGATATGAGTAATGGGGACAGAGTCGGCAAACTTTTTGCAACATTTGAGATACAATATTTTATATCCTAGCTATAAAATTTGAAAAAAAAAGTTTGCTAGACTCAGAAATCATGCTGGCAGATTATTGGAAGATTGAGGTGGAGAAGCTTGTCACAATATCTATTATCTTTAATACTAGACCTAGTTGCTATGGGGACATCAAAGGCTAACCTTGAAAAAAACAACATACTAAAAAGATATGCAGATATCGGTAAACTTTCCATCTCATCTAGATCTTATTTTTCCAGTTATCTGAACACCTCGATTACAGTTCCTTTTCCTTTGCACTGGGCTTAATCATCCAATCAAGGTCAATTGGTTTTTCTTTGTGTTATAATGGTCACCTCATCTTTTACGTTATTTTTTCCACATAGTCCTACTTTCTGGAATCATTTCATACTTGAATTATGTCTTGAGCCAGATCTTTTGAAGTTAGAGGGCACCCTTGAAATGCTTCCTTTTTCAGAATCTTCATGAAGCTGGAAGAATTTTCTTTCAAGCCATTATTTACTACAGATGTATTTTATGTTGTACTAATATTAAGACATGTTTTGTCTGTTTCATTAGGGAATGCTTAATATTCAAGAATACACACAGTAGTTTTCTTGTGTATTAAAACAAATATTGTTTTATAGTGTATATTTTTATTTACCTATACCGTACTTAGGTGTGCACAGAAAACAAAATTACTTTAATGGATTGTTATTAGAAAAAGGGGGAATTAATAAGGATAGTGACTCCATTCCAGAGGATCGAATCATGTTTTTAGAGTATGTATGTGTGTGGTGTATAGAAGCCGAATATAATATAAATTGTGTCTGTTATTTTTAGCCCATTTTCTTTTATTATTTTTCTCTCCTCTTGCAAAAAAAATGGAGCTTATCCTAACATCTTCAAACTTATAAAGCATCCAAGATTCCAAGATACCTTCTGTTACTCAGTCTGAGATAACATACTAAGTTGACTGTGTTGATACTCTCTTCTACAAGAAAATGAACAGTTTTCTGGTAAGGAACTCAAAAGTTCCATCCCTTTTCTGTTTCACAAATAAAAGACATTGATGTGTAGGTAAGAAATCAGAGAATTGAATGATTTTTTTAAATGGAAGAAATACACATACAGACATTATAAAAAAACAACACTGTGCTGGATAGCAAAGAAAGTGCAGCGTTCCCAAATGTTCATCCGTAGTGAGTACAAATTCATCTTTCCTTAGAAACAGAAGAAGTTTTACTTCTGGCCATGGGTACAGCAAAATGTCTGCATTCTCTAGCTGTGGATTTCCCATCTCTTTTATCTGAAGTCACTTGAGCGAGAAAAGCCCTCGGTTTCTATTCAGGGAGGCTGATTTCCTTTTCTAAGCCAAGGCCAACAAGGCGTTTCCAAGGGTGACAGCAAAAACCATGACACCTCTTCTAGATGATGATGGTTTAAAAATAAATGAGTTGCTCATCAGTCTATTAGGAGTTCAACCGTTCTTCTAACTAATCTGACTTCAGATGGGCATGGGGAATGACAAAATCACCGGAGAACTTGTGAAATACAATTGATCTATCATTTCTCTTATGTTTTTGAAATCTTTCAAAATAGGAACTCCTAAAATATCCACCAGAAGGGGTATTCAGCAGGTTCTGACCAGTTCTCCGAACT